ATCACTACTGGAAAAACCATACACGGCCCTTTGTTGGCAAGGTGATGTCTCTGCTTTTTAGGATGCTATCTAGGGTTTCTCATCACTTTCCTCCCAAGAAGAAGGCATCTTTTAATTTCGTGGCTGCTGTCACCATCGCTTATGCTTTTAGCCACCTGATTTGTTCTGAAGCTGAGGCTCCAGTACTTTGGCCATCTCATGAGAAGAAAAGAGTCCTTGGAAAAAACCTTGATGTTAGGAAGGTGTGATGGCAAGAGGAGAAGGGGACGACCAAGGATGAGATGGCTGGACAGTGTCTGCGAAGCAACCAACATGAACCTGACACAACTCCGGGAGGCAGTAGAAGACAGGAGGGCCTGGCGTGCTCTGGTCCATGGGGTCACGAAGAGTCGGACACGACTAAACGACTAAACACATTTCCTCAGATGTATGTGTCTTGGTAACTGGAGCTGAAAAATAAGCTTGTGTTTGGCTTTCCTGTGACCAGTCACAAAACACCCCATTCTGGACTGCAAGATGCAATAGTGAGGAAAAGGCCGTGCTATGACAGATGGGTTTCTTCCCTTGAAGGAGCACCTGTTGCAAATACGTGCTGAGTGGACTGATTACTTTAAACCCGTGAACTAGGACTTCTGAAGTTTGTATCGGTATGGTAGTCATGATGGCGCTTCATTTTGTCTTGTGTGGTGCGTCTCTGTGTAAGCAGCAAATGGATCAGCGCAGAGCTTGGGCTGAGGTCATCCTACCCCTCCTTCCCCCACAGTTCATTGTGGAAAAATGTTCCCATGGGTGCTAGGCTGCTCATTTATTACAAATAATTTTGAAAAGTAAGCAATATAATGTCATATCCAGTTGGCTCTTAATGATTATACTCAACACAACTGCTGTGGATTTAATTTGTATGGGTTTTCCAAAGGAAGGGGTAGAGTGTTGTGGGGGACCCAGAACCCCTGACTGCTAACCACAGCAATCATCTTACTGGCTTCTGAAATTTCATTGCCTATTGTTCACACAGTTTTAATCTCATGGCTATCTTCCTCGTCATAATATCTAGCAACTGGCTTTTTATTAAACACTGAGTTCTTTCGGATGTTGGCATTTGGAACACACACACACACACGTGAGCCTGGTGTCCATGTATCGTAAGGTGTGTGTGCACAGCAAGAAATACCAAAATTATCCCCAGATGAGATTGATATCATTCAATGAAGGGAACATTTGTTGTACAGACAGCTGGAAGCTAGTCCACGATGGGTCCCCCTGTCACCTTGTGATTCAGGAGTTGTGTGGATGAGTAAAGCTACCAGCATGGCTACGTGTAAATTTACTACAGGAATACAGTAACATACACTCTGTGAGCCTTGGCACAAATTTTGCATGTAGATAGCCAAACACATAAGAGAGAATTTAATATGTTTGGATTCAGGGATAAACGGCAAGATAAAGCAGCTTTTAGGACACAACATTAAGTTCTTGTCTAAGATTGACGGACCTCTACTTTATATACCATACATATCCTGAACATGAGTTTAAGCAAATTTGCACAGCCCTTGCTAGTCTCAGGTCCTCTCAACATCTGAATGGACATGCAGATCAGTGCACAAAGAAGCCCTTAATACACATGCCCCTCATCCCTGTTGCATACAGTGGCCAAGTATACTGAGTCTGGGGAATCACACTATCCATCCTCTAGACCAGTGGTTCTTAACCTTTGTTACTCTGGTGTTTTTGAACTGCAACTCCCAGAAACCCCAGCCAGCAGAGCTGATGGTGAAGGCTTCTGGGAGTTGCAGTCCAAAAACATCTGAGAAACAAAGGTTAAGAACCATTGCTCTAGACCAGTGGTTCTTAACCTTGGGTTACTCAGGTGTTTTTGAACTGCAGCTCCCAGACACCCCAGCCAGCACAGCTGGTGGTGAAGGCTTCTGGGAGTTGCAGTCCAAAAACACCTGAGTAACCCAAGGTTAAGAATCACTGCTCTAGACTAGAGAGCCAACACAGCGGTAGTTGCTATAGCAGGTGCAACTGGCAGTTTAAAAAAAGGACAGGATCACACTCATAATATATCTTCAGCTCTTTGGAGGTGAAACTTATTTGCATTCTTGCTACAGACCTGCCTGCCCTGGGTCCCACCTCTGTTGACCTGATGACAAACTGATGGGGATGTAAATATGGAAAGTAATAATGATGACCCAGTGATAAGAGGGTAGTGTGATCTGGAGCTCATCTCATATAGGTAAAGTTTTTCAAAAATTAAAATTTGGAGGACAACTGGGAAAGAGGAAAACATGCGGGTGTGGGTGTGTTCCCCCGGTTCTGGACATCACAATCCAACTGCCTATGTCACTGAAACACCACCACCAGACATGCCCGCCCACATCTTTACAAGGGTGTATCACAATGAATCGCACAGAAAAAAAACCCGTTTGAATCATTCCAGCTTGAAAAAGTAGAAGCCACCCCCCCCCGGAGCAGGGGGGAAAAACACAATTTGGTAGCCAAAAAGGGCTGCACTGATTTGAATCACTCTTTGCATGACATAGTCAGTTAAAAAAATATTTCAATTCACCACCTTACTAAGCAGAGCATATTGTGTGGCATTTGACACATAGTCAGTCACAAGCCAAGCCCCACTATTCCCTGTCCACCCAGTGCTGGATTCCTGCACCGTCTACCTAGCGCTTTATTGAGCTTCACTCCAACATGCAATAGAGACCTCAAGTTGTCTCCTTTCCTTGTTCAAGATCCTTAATTTTAGCTGCTTACGCTTTTGTTGTTTTTGTTGTGTAGCAGTTAAGTCGTGTCCGACTCTTTGTGACCCCATGGACCAGAGCACGCCAGGCCCTCCTGTCTTCCACTGCCTCCTGGAGTTGGGTCAAATTCATGTTGGTTGCTTCAATGACCCTGTCCAACCATCTCGTCCTCTGTCGTCCCCTTCTCTCTCCTCTTGCCTTCACACTTTCCCAACATCAGGGTCTTTTCCAGGGAGTCTTCTCTTCTCATGAGATGGCCAAAGTCTTGGAGCCTCAGCTTCAGGATCTGGCCTTCCTGTGAGCACTCAGGTTGATTTCCTTCAAAATGGATAGGTTTGTTCTCCTTGCAGTCGCCTCCTCCAGCACCACAATTCAAAAGCATCAATTCTGCGGTGTTCAGCCTTCTTTATGGTTCAGCTCTCACTCCCATACATCACTACTGGAAAAACGATACGCGGACCTTTGTCGGCAAGGTGATGTCTCTGTTTTTTAAGATGCTGTCTAGATTTCTCATCGCTTTCCTCCCAAGAAGGCGGCATCTTTTAATTTCGTGGCTGCTGTCACCATCGCTTATGCTTTTAGCCACCTGATTTGCATTACTAGCCAGATCTAGGAGGGTGGCATGTATCTGATCATAAATCTGTGATTAAAAACTAGAAAGAGCCTGACCAATCCTTATGGTTCAGAGGATGTATGGCATAAGGTGGCATCCTGCTTTCTTTCCCTAAACAAGGCTCGGACCTTACTATACAAGATCCTCGGCCTTGATACGGACGTTTATATGAACACCCTGAAACATCACCTACAGCATAACTACAATGCCCTCCCCCAAAAAGGGCTAATTGTCGAACTGGTACTCCTGACACGGTTAGCGGTCTCTCTCTCTCTCACACACACACACACACACACACACACCCTTCAGCTCCATAATGGGGACCAGTATGACCATACAGCCAAAACAATATAGAGTCACGCTTGCAGGGCTGCTTAAGTCACAGAGATGAAAGACGGAAGTAATCAACCAGCACCTCATCTTCTTCTCACCAGAAACGCAGCCAAGTGGCAAGTCCGTGGCAAAGGAGAGCGGCCATTTCTCTGCCTCTTTGTGGAGCAAATTCAAAACGATTAATACGTGCTAAATGGGCAAGCACCACTCGAAATGACAGTTAGGACTGGGCTTTGGGGATCTTTGAGGGCACCCATATCTACCACCTTTCTTGAAAAGCAAAAAAATTCTGCAAGGGGGTGCATGCCACTTGCAGCCAGTTTAAACATCTCCCTGGAATCACCCAGAAGGCAACGACTAGTTGACGTCACTGTTAATTTTGTTTGGCTGTATGTTGGCTGATGCTCCCTCAACGGGCTCTCTACTCCTGTCCTGTCTGCAAGCCTTCAAGGAACCTCGCTTAGAAGGGGTCAGAATGCCAGGGTTCTTTCCCAACCTAGCGGGCAATGCTCAGTGAAACTTTGCTGCCCTCTAATGGCGAGAAAGGTTCACTTGTGTTTGGGCGGTTCAGAGGCAGGTTTTAACCTTATGCTCACTGGGGATGCTGTTTGGTTGCAACAACTTCTGTGTAACAACATCGAAGTGTCTGAGAAGATCTGAGATAACCACTTTTTTTTTAAAGATAGTGTGAAACTAAGATGGTATATCTGACACTGATCTAAATTGTCAGGACTGTCTTACTTACTATAAAGTGTGGTGTCTCATGTTCACCTCAATGACTCACCGGGCTTACCCCTTAGGAAAGCTACTCGGTAGTACCTTAGCTTCACTATGCTGCAGCATGGCATTTTCAACTGCAAACACACTAAACACATTTGTAACAAAAAACACTGAACACATCAGGTCTAATACCTAAAGTGTGCACACACCAAGACGATAGTAAGCAGGTTTCCCATCCAATCCTGAGAGGTCTAAGGCCAGATCACATCATCAATGTTGTGATGTGGGTAGACTCCAAGCTGAAAACAGAGTCACATGACTGCTTCATCATGTGACTGCTTCAGAATTCAATCTGTCTTTGTTCAGCCAATCTGCAATAAAATGCTTGAGGGAGGCTAAATAGTTAAGTACAGTGACATGGCATGCCAAACCCCATCTAGATCTTTGCCACTCACTATAACCAAAAGAAACCAAAAGAAATCTTCGTATTGTGGAAGGATGTAAAATGGACTTTTATTTGCTCTACTAAATAAACAGGCTGATTTCACACCAATATATCTTGAACCTCTCTATAAAAATATTTTTCTTCTATAATTGCCATTACTCTCCAGTAATAACAATTTGATTACAATAATATAATAATAATAGATCTTACAGAAACCAATGCTTTGAAATTAGAACTGATTGAACTTAAGGCATCTAGAAAAGAGACAGGAGCAGATGTACTGCAATCTAAGTATAGAAGTCCAAGGCCCTGGCTGACATTACTGTAGTTGCATTTAAGTCAGTCCTGACTAACTTTACCCACTGATTTTGGTGGAACATATAACCAATTTTATCTGTGCAATAGCTCCAAACCTAATGATCCACGTAACTGGGACTGCAGCCTTTAACAGTCTGGCGGCTTGTACTGTAACAGAAGATGCTGTACGTAAGAGAGATATTCGTTGATGACAACTTCTTCCTCTTCCAGAGTTAGATCCAAATAATCTTCTTCATGTTCTGGAATATCCTCTATGATTTCATTGACAGCATCTACTTCCATGTCTTCATCAGTTGACGCCCCAGAAACACCTGGAAATAATTGAGAAATGGGATCACACTTTATTTCTGAGCTTAATGATTTACGTAAGGTCTTCACTGCAAAATTAGTTCTCTTCTAATGATATTCTACATCAACATTTGGATTTGTGTCAGTGTGTGTGTTCGTGTGTGGTGGGGAAGGTTTTTCGAGTCAGAGAACATGAATACATCAGATTCACTTTCAGAAGTGCTTAGAATCCAAGAAGGGAGGCCAATTTGCAAAATATTGGAAAAATCCCAAATTACCGTTAGCTAACATATGGCACAAAATGCTTATGACACTACTGTATTAGTGATTTCTGAACATAAGAAGCAGGATGATGTCATGTTTCTGTTGATGACACAGTGGGATAAATGTACGGTATTCTGGAGGGAAGAATACGTCCAGAGGAAATACATATTTGGAAAAAATATTATGAATGCTGTCAATGTAAGTGTAGCTTTTGAAATGAGATTTACATCAGTGGTCACCTACACAGTATGCATGTTTGTCTGGTATATAATGTTTATATAATGTATATTTATAAAACATGAAGGGATTGATGTTCAGAGGACTTGAGGTATCAGAATAAAAAGTACATCAAAAAAACAATGTATCACTTTCAGTGCTGAACCAATGGAGGACATTTCTGGAAGCACATGAGGAATATGGACAAGTAGGTGTTCTGAGAAGTTGGCAGTGATTGAGACACAGACGAGTATTGTAAGAATTCAAGGCCAGATGTCTGAAACACGTCCACTGCACAGTGCCAGCTTCCCCAACCCAAAGACTACAATTCCCATCGTTCCCAGCCAACAAGGCCAATGGAAGGCACCACAGCGGAGCAGGCTGGCATAATTTTTGACTTCACATTGGCTGACATGCCAACTCTCTGTGTACTGGCTCAGTCATGTTAGATAACCATGTACACTGGAATCAATCTGCTCATGGATGACGGGTGTCTCTACACACGACCGGTGGTGGGTGCCAAAGAAACGCACAGAATTCTCTCCCTTCCTCCAGAACATCTTTTCCTCTCAGGGCTGACCTGTTGCTTTGTAAGAACCTTTGCAACTTTCATTCTCTACAGACCAGAATGGACCTGGTGCAGAGGCAAGCCAGTCTATTCCTCGGCAGCAAATAAAAAGTCTCCGTTGTGAGCCTTGGGGATGCTGGGGCACGTGAACACCCTGGCTTGATGCACGCACATGTCCCCCCGAGAATCATGGTGGGGAACAGCAAATAAAAAGTCTCCGTTGTGAGCCTTGAGGGTGCCAGGGCATGTGCACACCTGGATTGGTACATGCACACGTGCCCCGAGAATCATAGTGGGGACTTCTAATGGGCTACCTAGGAACAGACTGGAAGTTATAAATCTTCTTACACTAAGCCACAGGATTTTGGCCAGTGTGCTGCTTTTAATTTTTTACCCGCAGAACTAGTCGGAGAGTCTTTCGATGAAGAAGATTCATCTGAGGTGGCTGTGCCGTCCGAAGAGGTCTGCAGATCGTCTGGCAAGGACCCACCATAATGGGCCAGTGTCTGCACAGCCAGCTGAATGTTGCCTCTGAAGATTTTCAAAGCTTGCTCGGCCATCTCTGGAGCAAAGCCCATGTACACCAACTAGGCAACAAAGACAGGAGGAAAGGAGATATTGGGTAGATCAGGTTGGTCAAAACCTTACGGCTGAACTGGAATCAAAAAGGGGTTCCCCACCTTTATCACTCCACACGTTTATCGTGTGTGTGCGCGCGTGTGTGCGCGTGTGTG